AGGATATCATGTAACTTGCATATTTAAGATGCTTTTTTCTTTGTTTTTTTGTCAATAGTGTGCAACCAAAATATGGGAAGTGTTTTGTTCTCCTTTTTTATTTTGATGTCCTAACTATGTATGTGCTTACTGCTTAGTTTAATATTTTTTTTTCCATTTAGCATAGTTTTCTTTCCTGCTGTCCATTTTTTTATTTTTTATTATTTTTTGTCAATCTTCTTTAAAGACTCAGAAACCAAGAATGGCGATCCAAGGCCTATAATGTACAACATAAATTGCTTTTTTCTTAATCTCCAAGGAATCGTATAGCCAGTTCAAGAACCCTAGTGCAGAGAATATGGTTCTTGATAAGAAGGAGGTTTTTGTTGAACTTAAGGTGCTGCAGACCCACTGACCCACTTTATTTTTAAGCGTTGAAGTGTAAATGGTTACACAAATTTGTAAGGAGTAAAATTGACATACTGAGCAGGAGAGGTCTCAAAGGTGTGGTTTAATAGCTGTTAAGTCTGTTGTGCAGGACTCTGGAGTGTGTGTTTGACACTGTGCTTTAGGGAGTGTTTGACATGGCGACTGAGACTGTCTGGAACCTCTCTTGAGGATTCACTGACAGCTACATCAGAAAAGAGGAAATGCAAGACAGTTTGAGCACACAAGAATGGTGATGCCTTTTTTGTGTGTGTAGCACACTGACAAGTGAGGAACTCTGACTGGAGGAAACAGCAGCATGGTTTGATCTCATGCTTATTCTTCTCACACCAGACTGCTCCAGTGTGTGTCAATGAGATGGAAAAACACATTTTATGTAATGAAAAAAGTTCAAGTCAACTTTCTTGTTGCCAGTTTTTTTTTAGAAAATAATACTTTTTAATCTGTTCAACATCATGTGTTGCTATTCTGGAGCATTGTCAAACACTTTGTTAAATCTTTATGAAGAGGGGAAAAAACTTGAATACAGTATGACTTGTTATTTTAAAGTACCTTACAGATTATGTAAGATTGTCTTTTTGTGTGTAATTTCACATCTTGATTTATCACAGTAGCATAGAGTTCTCATTGTGCCACGTGAACTGACTCCAGAACTGAAAAAAAATCTAATTCTGAAATATATATTAAAGCTAAATAGAAATAAAAAAAGACAAAAGCATTATCGGCACTCAAACACTGTTATCTTAAATTTAAAACAGGGGGGGGGGAAGTGAATGAGAACTATTAATTTAGCATCACTAGAATTTCTAAATAATTAGATTACTTAAAATGAACAATTGCCCAGTTTTAATTTTTGTAAAACTTTTATTTTGTAAAAGGGTTTACAGTATTTTCAGATTTCTTTTTGAAAAACAGAAATAATTACATAAAAAAAATGTGTGCACCTTTAATTATTATTGCATAGCTTCTATAATTTCTATTGAATGAGTCATTCACTCTATAGATTTGTTCAAACACACCGATTTATGAAGGTAACATCAAGTATTTCTGAACAATTATGTTACAGAGGCAAAATGGAACACTCTAAAAAAACACCTCTGTAAAAGTTGTTTCTGAGTGAAATCGCACACTCACCCACATTCGCTCACAGCTTGAAGGCTTTTTACTTTTAAGTTTCCACTCAGTCAGGTAAACTTTCCTCCCTCCTGCTATGCAGGCCTGATTGTGTACCTCAGATGTCTACCTTAATCAGGAACCACCTGCTTACATTACTGGTGTTCGAAGGGCCTGGAGCTGGGCTTCACTCATGCATATGTTTTTTGTAATGAGTATCTGGATGCGGGATCTGAAGATGCAGGAGGGAATCTGGGCCAGTGCTCCAGTGAATGACAATATGATTGAAAATGCCTACGTTAAAGGATCCCCACTACTAAATTAAAGTTAATAATCACTAACCTAAGGCAGGGGTTGGCAAGTAAGTTTGGCATCGGGCCAAAAAAAAATGTCGCCACTAGATGGCGGGCCAGAACATAGTCAAAGGATAATTTAAGAAATTAATTGATGAAAAATGCAACTAGATTTGCCTGTGACAGACTGTTACAGTGTCTTTTGTAACTGGTAGTGAGCTGTTACTCTGTGTTAAATCCTGTTGGAGGACAGTCATTAACAAAAAGCCACATTTTTGTGGTGGTGTCCAGCAGAGTACGTGAGCGGAGTGGAGCATCAACAATTTCCCCTCCGCGCTCCGAGCATTTAATAATCACTCCGCTCCGGGTTCACCGTTTCCCGCTCCCGGTCCACTCTGTGCTCACTGATCTCAGAAACACCGCTCCGCAAAGTATTTCAGTATGTTTGAAATATCACAGTTCTCTTCATAACCTATATTAAAATAAATAAATAAATAAAATAACAGGAGAGTTTCAAAGAGGCTTATTGGAACACTAGTGTGCAAACCTTTTTTCCTACCACATGACAAGCTAATAACATGGTTGTCAGCATTAAAAGGTGTAATCGCTGCTTTTTGCAGTGCAAATTTTGTTGAAAATGACATTTTGTTTTGATGAAAATAACTACGTTTTTGTCAGTTATTTTACCTAAGGATCGATACATTTCTTACAGATTGCTGCTCATTTGAAATCGGATACAGATGAAGTAGCACTGTAAGATTACATTTGTTTGAATGCATTATTGAGAGAGCGATTGCGTGTGAATAAGTGTTGTAGTACTTGTTTAAATCATGCTTTCAGCTGAAAATATTCAGTATCTAGAAGGAACAAACTAATTCCTTGATAACTATAACTTTCCGCTTATGTCCATTGCCGTCATCATATAGCTTCACATTCTTTCTGATTTAAGTGATCCTTCCCTATCAAGCTAGCTAAATATGTTTAACATGTGAATTCTAGCTAAATGTGCAGTTATATTACGGGCTGTTGGCATGAATTGTATTCGTGATGGAGCGGTGGTGGAGCGCTCTTGGAGCGAGTGAAAAGCTCCATTCAAAATCACATCGCTCCACTCCGCGCTCCGCTCACATACTCTGATTGAGAGTAACGGTTGCTGTCATGACAGATCTATTTCAGAACCAGCCACTATCAAAATAATCTGGCTGCGGGCGCGGGCCAGATATTATTGCTGGCGGGCCAGTTTTGGGGGCCGCCTGTTGCCGACCACTGACCTAAGGCATCATGAGTAGAGGTTTTCTAGTTTTTGAGTTCTCCAAAATCTTTTTTTTTTTTTTTTCAGTAGCTGATTCTAGCAAGGTGGCTTTTGACCTTATATGACACTTAAAGAAATCATCATGACTTCATGCACAAGCTCACACTTATGGCAGCATCTCAAAATGCCCTTCTTGGCAAGATATAAATGTGTAAACTATGTCTTACTGTAAGTATATGTAAACAGCACTTTAGCTGTCTCTTATGTACTTACCCTATTCTGTACTGAAACATTTTCCATCGTTTAGAAAGTGCAAATTTGGTGGGCTACAGATATTTTACAACAGGTTATCAAAATTTGAGCATGTGCTACACACATAATCCTATTCTATACTTACAAAGAGTGTGCTACCATTCAAAATTTGGGGTCAAAAATTAAAAATAAAATAATATAAAATAAAATAAAAGTAAGTAAATAAATAAATAAATAATAATGCATTTGTTATGTTTTGAACAGTATCATACTCATCTAGGCTACATATATTTGATTAAAAATACAGTAAAATCTGTAATTTTGTGAGATATGATTACAATTTAAATGAACTATTTTCTATTTTAAAATACTTTAAAATATAATTTATTCCTGTGATGGCAAAACTGAATTTTCAGCGGACATTACTCCAGTGTTCCCTTTCATGGGAACTTCGAACTGCGTCCTCTAGGGGTCGCTATGGGGAACGCCTCGTCGTGACCCGTGTCTGAAGCATACATTGAAAAAACACCAACTCGTTGGCCGGCGACAGCCATGACGTCACTACCGGTGCGACTACAGTATAAATCGGTGCCGGGAGCTACACATCATTCTCTTCTTCGTCTTCATTGACTGTTCTGTTTGAAGCGTGCATTTTCAAGGAAAAAGTAAGAGCTATCTATTAATATTATGGCGAGTCACATGATCCTTCAGAAGTCATTCTAATATGCTGATGTTTTATTAAATCAAATATGTTTGTATTTGTAACATTATAAATGTCTTTACTGTCACTTATGATCAATTTAATGCACCCCTGATGAATAAATGTATATTAAAAAAAGAAAACAGACTTTTTAAGGTATTAGATAGATAGATAGATAGATAGATAGATAGATAGATAGATAGATAGATAAATAAATTCAGTAAATGAATACTGTAAATCTTCAACTATTTTATCAAAGGTATGTGATATATAGGAACTCCGATACCAAATTAATTTAAAATTTAATGATGAATAAATGTATATTAAAAAAAGAAAACAGACTTTTTAAGGTATTAGATAGATAGATAGATAGATAGATAGATAGATAGATAAATAAATTCAGTAAATGAATACTGTAAATCTTCAACTATTTTATCAAAGGTATGTGATATATAGGAACTCCGATACCAAATTAATTTAAAAGTTTGTAATGTCTGAGAACTTTACGACTGTTTTAGGTTCATAATTAATATCTGAGAAATGTATATCACTTTCTGGGTAATATATTATGATCCCTCTAGTCTCTGTGTTTGTTTTTCCTCATTAAAAGTGAGATAATACAGTCTGACTTGCACAACAATGTCTGGATCCCACATTAAGACTCATTCTGAAGTAATTCGCTTTTAATGTAATGCGGTGTCTCAATATTTTATAGTCACAATTTTAGCATTTTAGTGAGATTGTTATGCAACATTTAAAGACTTTTCAATGAAGAAGCTTTTCTGGCTTTAATAATAGATGTGCGGCAGGCCTTTGATTTTGTTAAGAAAGTCGTGAAGCATGAAACTGATAACTGTGATGTCTGCACCTTTTTCCTTTTATCATCCTATTAAACTGTCATTCTTTGTTTTTAACATCTCTTTCATCCTTTCAAATATTAATTCCCCTTACTTTCTTTCCACAGTAAACATGACGAGTGCTACGTCCCCAATACTGCTAAAATGGGACCCCAAAAGTCTTGAGATTCGCACACTGACTGTGGAGAGGTTGCTGGAGCCGTTGGTCACACAGGTAATGTCTTCTCATTAGATTTACACTGCTTGCGGTTTCTTCTTTGCAGGTCCAGTTGCTGAATGTACAGACCATATTAAAACTGGGTTTCGTTGATAATTTTTGTCTAAGGAATTGGCAACATCTCAAACTGTCAAGCAAAAGTATCAAGCAGATTCAAAATACCGGTCTAACTAGTTAACTTGTCACCTGTAGTTGTTGACTAACTAGTTGTTGTCAAAATCTCCTGTTGAACTTCACAAATTGAGTCTTGAGCAATCAAAATCAATATATCCGTGATTATCATAATGCCATTAATGGCATGTTTGCTTCAACTGGTAAAGCTTTCTAGGATTTTGAAGTTGGTCAATGTAGAAAAGAGTTTGAAGACCTTATCAGAATTTGTCTGAATATAGGTTATACTCAGATGCTGGATGTTACATTGTACATTGTCTCCAGAACTCCACAGCTCACGGCAGGAATCACATTTTAGACTTTTTTTCTTTGTTCTCTTGTGCCTAGGGTATATTTGTTGGGCTTAAAATACTGAGCAAAGTTTGCAAATGAACAAACAAGCAAACTTTTTAGACTTCTATACCATCAGTCAAAAGTTTGGACGCACCTACTTAGTCTTTGTTTTTGCTATTTTTCCACATGTTAGAATAATAGTCATCATAACACAACTGGGAATTATGTAGTGACCAAAATTAAGAACAAATCTTAATTTAGAACCTGCTTTCTTTAGTCCTGAGATATATCAAGATAAACATACATTCAGTCAAGTGTGTCCAATGTTTTACTGGTTGTATGTCTGCCATGTACTAAGAAGGGCAACCATCAAAGTTTGGGGTCTGTAAGAATTTATAATTATTTATCAAAGAAATACTTTTATTCAGCAGTGAAATTACTGTATAGGCTTTTACATTGAAACATTGTTTCAAGTAAATGCTGTTTTTTTAACTTTCTCTTAATCAAACAGTTCTGAATAAAAGTATTATTGTTTTTTATTAAAATATTACGCTGCATACATAGATGTTTTCAAAATTAATCATACCAAAAATGTATCTTATGTCTATGTCTTAAGTCTTATGCTTATATATATATATATATATATATATATATATATATATATA